TTTGTCACAGAGGTCAACACCAAGTGTGTTTGCACTTCTGCTCCAGAGGACACGTGAGCTTGGGCTCCCTACCAGACACCTTTCTCCTTCGATAATCTCAAGGATTCCTTTCCCCCCAAGTCCCCAGATCTCCAGGATAATATCCAAGATCAGACAAGACAAGGCCTCAGTCATCATGATAGTCCCATACTGGCCAAGGCAGTTTTGGCTTGTTAGAGTGTTATAGATGTCTGGGTGGCCTCCCACTCATCTTTAACCTTGTCCAGACATACTATCTCAGAATCAAGATCAGATACCACACCTAGGCCCACAGTCATTGCACCTGATGGCTAGGATGTCAGCTGGTTCAGCACTACCGACAGAGACTGCTCCCTACAAGTTAAGGAGATTCTTATACAAATCAGGAATACTTCCACCAGGAAGATTAGTTTTCAAAATGGAAGGGAGTCTCCATAGGGTCAACTCAGACTCATGTTGACCCAATGGAGACTCTGATACTGAAGATCCAGGAGTACATCCTGCTCCTGAAACACAAAGGGTTAGCCCAATTGTCTCAAGGTTCACTTTGCTGCGATATCTGCATGTCATGCTCTGGTACAGTCATACTCAGTATTTTTATGCCCTATGGTATCAAAATTCCTCAAGGGCCTCCTTCATACTTGCCCTCCAGTCAGAGACCCAACTCCCACGTGGGACCTGAACATCGTTCTCCTGAAGCATAAGGAGCCACCCTTTTATCCACTATCAGAGTGCTCAATACACCACCTTGCCATCAAAATGGTCTTTCTCATGGCCATTACCTCAGCATGGAGAGTCAGTTTGAACTCAAAACCTTTATGACTGGACCACCTTACACATCCTTCCATAGGACAAGGTGATACTGAAATCACACTCCAAGTTCATTCCTAAGGTAGTCTCAGAATTCCACTTAAACCAGTCAGTTACTTTACCAGTCTTTTCCCTGAAGCCACACTCAACGTCAGGAGAGCAAAAACTGCATATTTTGGACATCTCCAGAGCTTTGCCCTTATTACCTCATGTGACGTATGGTCAGAAAGGGTTAAACATCCTCCAAAATAAATAACCCTCAAAAGACATGTGGGGAGATAATGTTTGTGTTTTTGTGTATTTACATATATATGAGTAGGATCAACGATGTAATCAACAGTCCCTGTCTATGCTGTATTCTGATAGTTCAGAGAGCAAAAGAACATCCTAGCATTTAAATGAATTGTAAACACGGGATATCTTGGTATTCATCTCTCTTTGAAATGTACTGTGAACGGTGGAGGAACAAGCAAATTGCCTCATGTTAATTTGTATAGCTAAGTACTGGTGATGGACCTCCTTCAAAGTCATCCTAATTACCTTTTGTTCCCCGAGGAACTCCCAACTTGTCAAAGAGGACATATAAAAGATCCTTGGGTCCTGATTCTGTCATCTCACATCTGCTTAAGCTTCATCAGGGAAGTTTGAGTCACAAGACTGAGGGCCCAGTTATGCTGGTACACCCTGAATATGATATTTGGACATTGGACTATAACCTATGAACTATTTCTGAAAGAATCTTTGCAACTACAAAGCTCACCATCTCTGCTATGAATCTGAATCTTAAGAATTGAACTCATGTCTGTATGTATATTGATCTTTTAACCATACACTCTCTCTTTTTTGTTTTTTAAGAAATATTAGTTTAGTTAATAAGAATTGGCTGTAGCATGTATTTGGGTAAGATGTGGAATATTCAATAACCTGGGAGGTAATGTGTCCGATCCTTTGGGATTGGTAGAACCTTTTATTTTATATGATGAAATAAGATTTTCAGGAATCTTCACCATATTTTGACTTAGGTACTTGGATGGAGGCCTGAGGCTGGATCATTTTAAGGGAACTGTGTTGTTTGGACTTCTGAGTAACCAGTACGGTAATTAAGACGCTTTCAGGCTGTCTCCCCACTTCCTTGTGTGCATTGAGAGGCCAAAGTTTCTCATCGCAGCGACTCTCTAAGTGGATCACACAGTGTGTTTCCACCTGCTGTCAAATGGCTGGTGAGCCTCTTCCTCCGAATGTCAAGGCACCCTCAACAAGGACTCAAGCAGCATTCTCTCCTGCTTCAGAAACATGCCAGTCTCTGAGATCTGCAGGGTAGCTACATGAAGCAACGCACTGACCTTTGGTAAACATTATGCACTTGACATGGCAGCCTGTTCAGATGCCAAATTAGGCAGTGCAGTACTTCGGTCACTGTTTGATTGATACAGGTGAAACTCCTCATGCCCACCATCCAAGGAGGATACTGTTTGCTGGTACCCTACACTGGGGATCTACACTGACATATATACTCAAAGAAGAACGAATGATTAGTGTGGTTCTTTGAGGTGCTGTAGTCAGTGTTGACTCCATGACCCACCTTCTGTCCCTGTTTTTGGAGTCCTCAGCAACATGGGCTTTGAACTGCAAGGAACCTGAGGGAGGGTCATGGCTGCCCCATCCTTTGTGCCCCACATGGAGGAGGCAGAGAGTGGATGTGCAGCCCCAACAGACACTACTATTAAAGAACCTCCAGCCTTGCACTCATGAGGTGCGTTTACACCTACAGTGGTATCCACACCTATTATATCTCAAAGAACCACAGTCTCTGTAAGGTAAGTAACACTCAAGTGTTACGCTTAAGGCAATGGAGTTAATCCACATTTACACTGCTATGAAATCCGAATCGGGCACTAGTAGAACAATAAGTTTTAGACTACACGGACAGTAGGATCTGCTTGTCTGCAAAACCTCACATGGAGTTCTTTTCAGACATCTTTTGCTGCTGTTTTCTTTTGCTGTATTAAATTTGAAGTACTTTCTGTCTCCCTCTTCTGTTCATACACCCTGAATATGGATCTATTAGGACCTTAGCAAACTTCAAGGTCTGTTCCTTCTGCACTGAGATGAGAATATGATGTTACCTACAGCAATTGGTCATCAGAGACAAGTGAAACAGCACTATTTTAAGCTTTGCATACACAATCACCATAACTCACTGTTACAAAAGAAACAGTTGCTGAGAAATTACTGTTTTGTGTTTCAGCTCTGGCCTATAGCACACTCATAGGTACACATCTCTGACTCTAAAAACTCTCTTGACTGTCCTTTCCATCAGAACCTATGCTTCTTGGCAATGCTTCACATTGCAAGGTGAATGTTGCAGAGGGCCTGAGCCAATCTGGCTTTGAGTCCTGCCACTGCCTCAGTTTCTTCCCCTTGAGCTCCTCAGTTACTGCACTTAGGCTCTCATTTGTCAAACAGTACCCCCTGGGATCCAGTTTATTAACACATCATCACAGTTCAATGTAAATTTAAATCAAAACCAGCCTTTTTTCAGCTCAACAGTTCTTAAAGCCCCTTGCTAGACTCAATGGTTCCTAGGACTTTTCTCCCTGTCCCTCAAAGCAAGAAGCTCCAGCCAGGCCTTTCCATCTGGCTGGTGTGGAAAGACCCATCCCAGGGTCTTCCTAACCCTGGGTCTCCTGCAGGAGCCTTCCTGCTCCTTGCAGGTCTCTTGTCCACTGGTTGAGAAGGCCCCTCTTATAAGAAGCATCACCTATTATCTGAGGATCAGGTGACCTCCAAGCAAACACCTAATGCCTAGCTTCAAAAAGCCATAATCTGGGAAGGCATCTGGTATGGATGACGGGTGGGCAAACTACAGCCTGCGGGCCGGATCCAGCCTGTCAGGGCTTTGGATCCGGTCCGCGGGATTGCCACCCCCATGGTGCCGCGGGGCTAAGAAAGGCTCCCTGCCTGCCCTGGCCCTGCACCACTCCCGGAAGCAGCCGGCACCACATCCCTGCCCTGAGCCCCTGCCGCACCCCACACCCCTCCTGCACTCCGCACCTCTCCCTGCACCCCAGCCCCCTGCCCTGAGTCCCCTGCTGCACCCTCCTGCACCCCAACCCTCTGCCCTGAGCCCCCCCACAGTCTGCACCCCAACCCCCTGCCCTGAGCCCCCTTGTACATCCCGCAGCCCTCCTGCGCCCCAACCCCCTGCCCCAGCCCTACATTCATGGCCCTGCATGCAATTTCCCCACCCAGATGTGGCTCTTGGGCCAAAAAGTTTGCCCCCTCCCTTGGTGTAAGCGCCAAACCCCTTAAAGGGCTATCTTCTCCTATGACATATGTAATTTACATTGTGGAGCTGTGCTGATATGGCTAGAGAATGACTCAAAGGGAAGTACACATCTCTACATCCTAACTGCCAAACAACTGTTGAATAAGCAATTCTCATTTGGGGGCATAGTGATAGGAAATACTGTGAAAGATGTTGCATCTTATACAAACTTAACTCATAGCTTCTGTTTCTTCTTTTCTATCTACTTTTAGGATCTGGATTAATTGTTTCATTCACTTACATTCAACTGTGAATATTTATGCTTTCTGTATTTAGGAAGTGAGGAGATTCCAGTTAGGAAAGTGATTGAGGACTGGTAAGTATTGCTGTTCATTCCTCATCTTCACTCCATCGTAGGCCTCTCTCAAGGACAATAAAAGACCAGTGGGCTAAACCTCAGCTGGTGTGACTTGCCATTGCACCACTGACTTCGAGTCAATGGAGTTATGGCATTTTACACGGGCTAAGGATCTGCCCCCAGTTCTGTCATACCTCTTTTTTGAGGTTTTGTATTAGAGCAACAGCATTCTCTAGTGAGGAATCAGATGTGACCTTTCCAACTCCTGTTACTCAGGTTAACCTTGAACACCAATTCCAACACCCATGACAACAGCCCAAGTGCAAGGTTATTGATGAGTATCCTTTAATCCCCACAGATCCATTTCTCCATCATTTCATTTAGAATTGGTGAATAGCAAACCTTATGTTGTCCCAGCACTTGTCATTCTGTGATGTATAAGAAGCATGAATAAAGGAGACAGCACTGGTGCAATATGTTGGGGTTTTTTTATTACATACAGGATACTGTGCGGCGAGATAGAGGTGGATGTGCTGTCAACTTGAAAAGTGCAAGCAAACAAACAAAAATCCTTTGTTTCCTAGCCTAGCAGCGTTTATATTAACAGATATAGTACATTACACATTTAAACTACATAAACACACACCATCTAATAAAACCTAACTAACTGAAACACGTTATTGTTCACCTTCATTTACAGCCAAATTTGTTAGGTTTTACTAACTTAAGGGGGGATGCACAAAGAGTCATTTTAGTGTCCGTTACAATTTTACTATAACAATATAGTTAGCACGCTGTCATATCGTTTTCCTCCTCAAATCAGACTTGCTGCATATTAGACTGTTTTTAAACAGCTTTTGGGGAATAAAATTGTAACCAGATCTATTCAAAGTTTTGGGGACTTAACAGTACTGATTCAAGGCAAACATAGTGTGGTCAGGTACTTTACAAGTTTCTTCACATAACCAGTCCAATATGTCTTCATCCCTGATTCACCAATATTGGACCTCTCGTACACACACTGCTATTCATAACAAACTATGAGATATGAGGTTCCCACATGACTTCTCACAATTAGATTGAAGCCCCCAATATATTTCACTTGAGAGCTCAGGCAGATTTGAACCTACTGTACTATTGCCCATTTCAGACCTATTCCAATTCATGCTACCACCTTCAGACAGCAGCAATGTTTTCAAAAGGAAAAGTGCTCTGGTTCTCAAGAGAGCTCTACTTTTGACATATTAGGTTAATTAACACTGTATCCGGTTTGAAAGGAAGCCTGTTTTATCTCAACTGCAAAGATTACAATGCTGATTGAAACATATCGTACTAAATGCTGCATTAGAAGGCAGTTTGTTGGTCTGGTTTATGATTTTAGGTTAGGATGTAAAAAGTACTCTGTTCAAGTCCTAGGTGAGCCATCAAGAAGTGAAGCTGTCCTGTTGCTTTTATTCTAATTAAAATATAATTGATTCACTTTACTTAATAAAGAAATGAAGGAATCACCACCACAACAACAGTTTCATTCTGCCAGAGTTTAAGCTAACAATAAGGCTGTAATATGATTAGAATTTTAGCCAACGTTTTCAATACTTTTACCTTGTCTTCAATGTCACCAGAAGGTGTGCTTTTGGAGTCAATAGCAGACATTCAACTAAACTGTTGATAGAAGTACAGTGTTATTTTGAGATTCACAGAAATATGTTATGGCTGCTGGGTCATTATAAACCAGATTCAAATTTACACTAATTTGAAATATAAAGCAGTTGTCCTGGATAATTCAAATATTTACAGTGCTTACTGTATTCAGCTGACATATTTTGGGCCTGATTGACCCGAAAATGTTACTCCAGTTCTATGCCTGTGGCACTCCATTAATTTCAGTAAAGCTGCACTAGTCTAGAACTGAAGTAGTGTAGTGGTGAATCAGGCCCAGTATCCTTAAGGGCCATTTGTAGCTTGTTTGGGGTTCAGTCCAAATGAGGAAATTAGTGACCAAGGGCCAAGATTAGCAGCTCAAATAACTGGTCACGGGATTAGGATACTCATGTTTGTCTTTCTGCTTTGTGTGATCTACTGTATGTTGACCAAACAGTACATTTTGGAGGGAGAGGGAAGACTCTGTTTCAGCCAAGGAGAGACTGAGTTTTCTGTATGTTTAGTGTAGAATAAATTTTAAATTGTTGTCTGGTTGCAGAGGTTAAATGGTGGAAAAGTTTTCTGTGCGTGTCTTTGATTCAGAAAAAATATGAGAGCTTCTACATTTTAAAGGAGTCCTTTGTCTTTCAGGTGGAGTGATGCTGCTCAATTAGGTGTTGCAGCAGAGAGCGTGCCATCGTTTAACCAACTCCTTGGGCTTGCTGATCATTTCATTCCAGTGTTCCAGCTCTTTGCCCCTCGTGTACATGAAGGGCCCAACCACTACACGACCCAGCAGGTGGGTTTCTGAATAGAAAAAAAGAATGTGGTTAGTGGCCAGCACCCATACTATGTTCTGGTTAGATCCTTACCTAGGAGTGGAACAACAGCATTTCTTTTACTGTCCGTATAATAAGAGAGAATTTTTTTTTTTAAATCAAAATTTCCAAAGTGTGTGCTATAGATCTGGGGCTATAGTGTTCTCTCAGTACACACACGTTAAACATGATCACCCCCACCACTGCAGAGTTCCCACCAGTGACTCAACTGTTGGGAGATATTGCAGGTGGTGCACACCCAATCAGATCAGCTTCGGCCTGTTCCATCACTTACAGTGTACTGCCAGTCAGAGCTACTGTTCTGAGCAGACCGATCTTTATCTCTTCAAAACCTTCCACCTAGAGATTTATTTCAAAGATGTGCCCTGCTGTGGTCACCACCAACTTGGCTAGGATTCCACCAATGTCGGAAGGTGAAAGGCTTTTGGCTCATGGAGGAAGCATATTTAGCTAGTGGAGCATCTGACTAGGAGTCAGAAGATCTGGGTTCTGTTTCTGGCTCTGCCAATGACTCTGTGACAGTGGGCAAATCACTTAACTTTTCCAAGCCTCAATTACCCATATGTAAAATGGGGATGATCATCTGAACCTGCCTCACAGAGATGTGTTAACAGTTAGTGTGTAAAGCACTTTTAAGATCCTCACATAAAAACTGTTATACATTTACATCTTAATTACAATGCAGGCCATTACTGATCCCCCAAAGCCAGTTCATTCACCTAAACATTTTATATGGTAACCCCAGGAAAGCTTTTGTGTTTCAATACTGAATTCATGCTTGGGCTAGAGAGAGCAGAATGCAGCTGCTAATATACAGAAATTGACTAGATTGCAGCAGTTCTGGTGCTGATTTAAAGTTTCAGTTAATCTCAAACCTTTGGAACAGGATTCTCTCCTTCCCAACCCGAATTTCAAATGACAGGCTGTTGTCTGTCTAGATTACTTCCTTACTGATGTTGCTGTAAAGCAAGTATTGGATTTATGAATATGTGTGTGGAGAATTTCCAAATGTCGTTCTAATATCACATTAGATATCTAATATCAAGGAACATTCCAGATATATCCAGTCTCTGAAAAACATGTAAGGAACATGCCCAAACAGACTAGTGAATGGCTCTAAAATGATTGTTGTTCGTTTTCCTCACTGAGACTCAAAAATGTACATGATTAGAATGCTATAGAATGAATGACATCTAACATATGAATTGTATTTAAAACCATTTTTTTAATGTCAGCTCTTTTAAGCTTTCTTCTGGTGGTTTAGTCATCTAAACAACAGCTTCTGAAATACCTGGCTGCCCATTAGCTCCTGATGGTTATCCGTGCAGGTTACTGTGACACTCCTGTGTTTAGAATTATCAAGAGTAAGCCTTGCCTTGCTGCAAATGTACAAGAACCTAGGAAGAGCTTTAGTGCTTCTCGACGCTCTATGAGCTGAGGGGTGAAAACATTATCTACTATCTGTTCTTATCAGTTTAATATCTCAGATATAGTAAATTCTGTTTCTTACTGTCTCCCTCAGCACTCTGGAGCACAGACAGGCTCAGGCTTGCTGTATCCAGCTCCGTCTGGTCTGCCTTGAAGCTGAAGGTTTCGTTATAGACTGGATTGGGAGATCCCAGAACAGCTGTTGTCTTTTTACATTTAATGAATTTATTGTGGTTCATTAGGGACACTTTGATATACACACCTGAGGTGAAAAAAAAATTCCAAGGAGAAGAAAACAACATGTCAGGGGCACTTGAGAGAAAGGATAAAGATAATTCAAAACAATTTCATGATTTCAGAAACTATATTTAAAACAAATTAGGTCATAAAACTAATTAGATGAAAGCCTTATGACACATGCAGAAAGATGGCAATATGCACTGACATTATCTAGTGAGTACACTAACTATTTAGACCCTCATTCGGGAAGGCAGAATCCCTGTTCCAGACAGCACTTAAGCAGGTAGTTAAGTCTCATTGACTTTTTATCCTCCCTTGAGTGGATGGGTAAATTTGCAGAAGGTATTGGCAGTTGGGAAATAAAGAGGTGGCTTGGAGCTGTTTAAAATTGTCTCTTTGTTTGGTTGATTATTTCTTCTAAGAGACCTTGCAAAATAGAAAAAGAAGGGTGAGGTGGGGGAAGAACAGCAAGAAAAAGTTTTCCTTGCTTCCTGTCTGGACTGACCCTGCTTCTCAGTGTTGTTCAGCCAACATTTGAAAATAAGAGCCAAAGCAGCCTCTAAATTATTCCATTTTCCCTCTTCATCTTCAGTATTCACTGGCAAGCATAGAAGAAGGTTGATCTTAGTGGCTAAACAGTAATGTTTTCCTGAGGGAGAAATAAGAGCTCCCCTGCTGCAACTGTTTGTTACTCCCTGCCACTCAGGGAGAAGACGACAGAAAAAATCCAGGCCCACCATCATTTCCAGTCTTTTGTTGCAAAACTAATTAAAAATATGCTAAGGCTGGTCCTGAACAGTCTGATTCACTGGGGAATGGTATGGGGAGCCCAATCACCTTCAGAGTAAGAACATAATCCCACTCGCAATTAGTAGTTTTTGAAGATTAAACTCTAGGAATTGCCATTTTGAGTCAAACCCAAGATCCATGTAGTCCAATATCCAGTCTCTGAGGAAGGGGCAAAAACGTAGCAATAGGCAAATGTAAGAGACACTCCCCCGCCACACACCCGGCATAGATCTCCTCCTGGCCTCTATGGTTTGGGATTGACTTAAACCCTGAAGCACAAGGTTGAATATCCCGTCCAAAATGTTGTTATAATTAATTATGTTAACTGGATATATAATAATTGAATATTCTTGATTTCCATATAAATATGCAGTCTCTTTTTTAATCTTGCTAAATTGGTTTTGAGTGAATGTAATTTCTCAGTTCCTTTTACCTCGTATCTTGGTTTTGCATGAATAATGTTCTTTGATCAGAAGAACAATTGTTTTGGTATCATTGTGGATTATCCTTATAGCTAGAGAACCAGCTTTTGAAGGGACATCTGGAAGTTCAAGTAAATTATAGATGATGTTTTAGATGCTCTGGGACCCACTGTAGCTAGTACATGAGATTTTCATCTATAGGGACCTGAGTTCAACTTAAATCTCAGGTGACTTATTGATCCTGCTCCCCTTCAAATCAATGGAAATCAGTGGATCTAAACAGGAGTTTGGAGATTAACATTTTAGTCCTGGTTTATCCACATCACAAACTTTAGTCAGCAGTTTCTGCTCAAGAGGGACCATGGATTTATCAGAGTAGTGGCTTTTCACACAACAGCTGAGGTATGTTGATTGTGGTATGCCTTGGCTTAAAGAAGTTAGCCCATAAACTGCCTGCACTAAGCCTGGGTCAAGCCACTCCTCATTTTCACAAGCACTACAGTCACTCAAGTTTTAATCAACCAGTAAACATTCCCTTATTGGCCTATACCTTGCTATAGAATACAAAGCCCTTGCTCCCAAGATCAGCTCTTTGGGGAAGGGACCTTTTCTTTGTTCTGTGTTTGTACAGCACCTAGCACACTGGGGTCCTGGTCCATGATTGAGGATCCTAAGTGCTATAGTAATACACATAATCATAATTAAAAACAATCAGTATGGAAACAGAGAGCCTATAAACTGTAAATGTAAGAACCTTCTCATTCAAGTTCTTGAATGAGAAGGTTTTGCCAGAGAATCTGCAATCACTAAGTCAGCTGTAGCAGTGGGCATTATCAAAGGAAATAAGAGCTGTTTGTTTAAAGGTCTTTAAATATTAGCCCTTTATCCTGGGGAATTGCTTATTGACAGCATTTCCTTCCTTCCTTCCTCCTGGAGAGCTTCCACAGCCCTGTCAATGCACTGATTACTATAATAATGTGCAAGAGCCTGGCATCAAATTAACACAGCAGCTCAATGGCCAATGTGATGAAAGAAGCAAATTTAATCTGACTCTCACTGCTGCAAAATTTAAAGTCCTGCACTTTGGGCCAGAGCGGAGATGAGCTGTGAGAGGAACACTCTCGTATGTGTGCGCGCGCACACAAACACACACTCTCCCTCTCTCTCTCGCAGGACCCCTTTTCCAACCTTAGGACCCTACATTCACCTCATTTGCAATTCATCTCCCGGAAGTCAGTTGTATAAACATCCTTATCTTAGCTATCTGTTCACTTTTTAGTGCCCATTTATAATAGTTGCTTTCTGCCTGTCCATTATTTACCTCTTACTGCAGAGGCATTACCTGTTAGGTCATGACTTTGCTTACTAGAAAGATGGGTATTTTCAGTGCTACTACTGTACAACTCCTCTTACAACATTCCTGGCCTAAACAAGGAAAATTCATCTCTAGTAACGTTATAAAAAATTTCGAGAGCACATTTATTCTGGGGTTAATAGCATGATTCCCACTGCCTGGATGTTTGTAGATATCTTGTACAAAGACAGGTTTCAGAGTAGCAGCCGTGTTAGTCTGTAGCCACGAAAAGAACAGGAGTACTTGTGGCACCTTAGAGACTAACAAATTTATTTGAGCATAAGCTTTCGTGGGCTACAGCCCACTTCTTCGGATGCATGTAGCGGAAAATACATATATTATATGTATTTTCCGCTACATGCATCCGCTGAAGTGGGCTATAGCCCACGAAAGCTTATGCTCAAATAAATATGTTAGTCTCTAAGGTGCCACAAGTACTCCTGTTCTTTTTGTACAAAGACAGTTCATCTCTATCAATGAGACAGTGACTCTACGCACTTTATAATTACAGCTACTGAAGATCTCTATAGAGAAAATTAAACTGTACTCAACTGTAAGAGAAAATCTTTTACATTGATATGGCTCCTTTTATCCCCAATCACTTCACAAATCACTAGAGATGGACACTGTTGGATTCAGAGGTGTATTTGAATATCCACCAGTTCAGGTTGTTTGGATCTGTGGGTTTTTGGGCCAATCTCTACGTACATCAACTCTGAAATGCAGCCCCGTCCCCACTTTCCCCCCAGACTGAAGGACAGCAACCAGCTGATATTCACTACATAAAAAGATGTTGGGAGAGTAAAGCTTGGCCAAGGACACCAGATCAAACTATTTGCATCCACAGTTAATTGCAGGCACAATCCCCCAGGCCTCCTTATTTGTAGACAAAATATTATGCCTCACACAAATGGAGGCCTGGTTGAGACCTGTTTTCAAGGTTAGGCCCTATTTATCCAGATGCGCCAAACAAAAGCTTTGATTCACATTGGATCTACATACTGGAAAAAATGGCCATCTTTAATTTACGAGCCTGTGTGATTTTAGCACTTGGAGATTTCAAATTACTAAAAAGAAAAGGTATGATCTGACCTAAAGCTAAGGGAATTTCAGTGTCTTGCTAGCTATTACCTGAGCAGCAATCATCTACTAACAGGCTGTATTAGTGCTGTTACACAAATATGCATTTTAAACCTATATTTATTTTTCATGCTTTGAAAGTTCAATGGTGACTGTATCTAGGGTTACCATACGTCCGGATTTTCCCGGACATGTCCGTCTTTTTGGTCCTCAAATCCCCGTCGGGGAGGAAATTCCAAAAAGCCGGACATGTCCGGGAAAATAGGGAGGGGTCATGGGGCTTGGGGCTGGGCTGGAGCCGCTGGGACCAGAGCTGGAGCCACTGGGGCCGGCGGTGCTCGGCCGCCGGCTGGCGACGCTCAGCCAAGGCCAGCGGTGCTCGGCCGGGGCCGGGGCCGGGCCAGGCGCCGCTCAGCCAGGGCCGGTGGTGCTGGGCCGGGGCCAGGCCAGGCGCCACTCGGCCAGAACTGGGGCCTGAGCCGAGCTGGGCCGGAGCCACTGGGACCGGGGCTGGGGAGGCTCGGCTGCCTGCCGGCGCCGCTTGGCCGGGGCCAATGCCCCGGGGCCCGAGCCGAGCTGGAGTCGCAGGAGCCGCTGGGGCCGGGGCGGGCCAGAGCCGCTCGGCTGGAAACGGGGCTGGTGCCCCAGGGCCCGAGCCGAACCGGGCCAGAGATGCCAGGGCCAGAGCCTCTTGGCCGGGGCCGGCCGCCGGAGGGAGCCGCTCAGCCGGGGGGGCCGGACTGGGCCGCGCCTCCCCCCCCCACTGCCCCAGCCCCAGCTTACCTGCTGCCTGCCTGTTTCAGGCTTCCCATGAACGTTTGATTCATGGGAAGCAGGGGAGGGGGAGGAGCAGGGGGGTGGAGTGTTCAGGGGAGGGGGCGGAGTTGGGGCGGGGACTTTGGGGAAGGGGCAGGGTTGGAGCGGGGAAGGGGTGGAGTTGGGGCCCCGTGGAATGTCCTCCTTTTGTTTTATTAAAATATGGTAACCCTACTGTATACTTGTCCAAAGCCATGTTTCCTGCCTCCTCTATCTGCTGTGCTTTTTCTTGCCATCAATCTTTGTCTTGAGCAATGGACATGTTCAAAAGATTTCCTTGCACATTGAGCCCTAGTCTGCCTTCAGTCCACATGCTGAAATCCCAGGGACATCTCCAAAATAGCCTAACAGAATTATGCCAGAATTATACCTTCCAAAAATCATTTGCTTGTGGGCTGAACATTAACTGCAGAAATACAGGGTTTGTCCTGGACATGCTCTCTCAACTGTAACAGCAGATTCACTGGTGCAATGCTCTACCTGCAACTTCCTCAGGTTGTAATGGAGGCAAAGCAGAAAGCAGGTCACAACAGGATTTGACAAGTGTATTGCCTTCCTTTCATTTCCCTCCTCTCTGCAAACCAGTTTCCCACCCAATGAATATGCAAACAGCAAATATCCAAATCTAGTTAGCACAGGAACACAACACAGTTTGCTTCTGTGCAGAAATTAAATCTCCCTAGCGTTTGGTCGTTCAGTGGAGTCACTTAACCTAAGCACTGGGAAGATGGGCCAGGAAGAAGCAAACCAGAACAGGAATCCGGGGGTAGTAACAGAGGCAGTTAATACTCACTGGCAGCATATCTCTCATCCTGGAACTTTAATCCCTTTGCTCTCAGCACCACTACAGTGAGACGGCCCAGGTAGTCATTGTAGCTGAGAGAAAACTGGATATCGCCGTACTCTGAAGGAGGCTTTGGAAGCGGAAGGTCACTATTAAAATGCATCTAAAAGGCTTTCTTTTCAGTCAGATATATTGGAAAACAGTGATTTCTGCCACTTTAGGAATGGGACAGGAATTCTAGCATCTCTGTATTTCACTGTAGGGGTATTTGAAATCAGACACTAGTATAATTGCCTACATAGTGATTACTGCTCTATGGTTCTTTGCAGGAGATTTTGGCTTTATCCCTCCCAGTAAAACCTGCTTGCCCTTATTCACATAAATAGTTATTTACATCAATGAACAGGATTTGACCCTTCTTTCTGGATCCCAGTCTCAGCTGTGCCTCTTATCCACCCAACGCTATCAAGGTGTCATTCCCCACCCGGCCACCCATATTCACTCACTCTCTGCCCCTCCCCCAAGGCAGGAAACCATCTTCTCCTCCCAGTTCCCCAGCACCAGCAGGAGTAATACTGTAACTCTGCATTGTAACAGTATGAAGTATTCTTACAATTGTCACTAACCAAGTTTCTGGCTTTTCTGGGTTTACATAAATGGTGGTCAAACCGTCTTCATGTATTATGAAAGTATTACCCACTGAGTCATATTAACACACTTGAAAAAAGTTTCCCTGAAGGCTTGCCAGCAGCTTTCCTGCATTCCTATCCCTCCTCCTCATTTGGGATACAGCATCATTCATCCTGCTTTGTGCTGGGCCTTTCTTGAGTCCCCATTAATTCATAACACAAGCAAACAGCAGCAGGTGTTTTTTCATTTGGCTTTACGCCTCATCCTAGACGTTGGGGAGATAGCTGTGTGCAGATGCAGCCGTTTCATTCCTGTGCTAAACACTGTGATGGGAAGCATTAAGTGTTATAGTGCTGCATGTGACACCCCCTCTCCCATTGCACATGTTAGGACCCTTGGTAAACTCTAATCCCCTAGCCCTTAACAAAAACAATCCCATATTTGATCTTGCCTTCCTCTGCCCCATCTATGCCCATGTGCAGGTACTACATATGTGCTGTAAAACTCCCTGGTCTCCCCAATAGGCCCATCACGATGGGAAAGCTCAAAAATACAAAACAGAGTGGTATTTGCCTAATGAATGTACCCTTTAATTAGTTGCCTACCTCCAGGTTTTCTGCTTCCAAATCTCTCCAAATTACTAGTTTGCTGTCACCAGTTAATGTCTCATTTTTCAAAGGAAAAATCACTTGGCCCAGGAGATGGTGCTTTTTCTGTTTATCGACATGGTAGACTGAGAATTTCAGAGTCCGTTGATACAATGTCTTACTAGAAACCTGTACAAAAATAGGCAGAACGTTTCAATATAACAATATAATTTATTGCATAGCTCTGCAACTTATCATTACCACACATGTGATGCATATATCTCTGAAATATTTTAGGGCATGTAATTTCTGTACTTAAAATAGGATATATATTTATATTTTTTATTAGCAAAATAGCTATGATAATCTGCATCCCAGTCTGCCCACTGCTGCTTCTGGCTTTTGAGGTTGTATTTTTTTGTGTATAAATGCACTGAAAACTATGATAAACGTAATATATTATAAAAAATCAGAAATTAAGATGCCAGTATCTATGCTACTTGGGGCAAAATGGTGCAAACCAAATAGTGTAGATGAAATATCAAATAAGATTTGTTTGACTTAGCTTGTAAGTTTGTTGGGGTATGGGACCATCTCTTTTGTGTTTTTTACAGTGCCTAACATAAACACACACCCCTGACTGGCCCTGGCAGTGCAAATCATAATAATAAACTGCCTCACAGCCAGAGAGCATTGTGACAATGTATGTGCTGGGAAAGGTCTGCCATGAGATGACACAGACCTCCTGGCTGCACAGCCTAGTGATCTTGTTTCCCTGACATCCAGAGTGACACATCAGATGTACCATCACAGTTAAAAGGCAAGTACCTGAAAAATAAAATTTTCATCAAACTGAGGGTTGAGGGTTTTGCGTTTGGTTTTGGACTGAAGGTAACGCCTTTCATCAGGCAGCAGATAAATTTTCACAAAGGGACTGCAGGAATCTGTAGGAGGCTGCAGTTTTCTAGCTTTTATCAAGGAGACGAGAAGCCTTTCAGCCTCTTGCTCATATTCCACTGAGAACCAAAGACGGCCAATGTTGCACTCAGGGAAGTCTGTCTCACTCTTGTCTTCAGGGAACTTGTACAGCTCTGGGTTGATAGACCCTATGACATAAGCTCCAGCTTTGCAAAATAAAAAACAAAACCAAGCAAGTTAACCTCAGACTACAGCAGTGTTTCTTACAGCTACTGCCTCTTTAGGGAAACCATGTAAAGCTCTTCTTTATTCAGTCTATCTCTGTGTATAAATTCTGCATTTGAATTCCTTTTCCCTCAAAGGTTGAGGAGAGTTTGTAGAATCATCTCTTTTCTTCTTAATATTGCTATGGAGGTTTCTGTAGTGACTCTGCCATGGACAACTACTTGGGGAATGTAGCTGATGTTTGTTCCAGCCCTCCAGAGTGCAGCACATGGTCTCTTCTGCAACTGGCCATGCCTGCCCCTTGTGGGAGATGCTAACACTGACCAGACGCTAGCCCCGAGCAGCCCATGTGTTGTCCCTATATCGAAGATACAAGGAAAGACTTGATTCTTGTGCTCTACCCTCTCCCCTGTACAGCAGTGTAAGGGGTGGCCCCAGTCTGGCCCAATTCCTATCTAAACATACAGTATAGTGTTTGGGGCTATTACTGAAGAATACTGTAGTATATCTACACTTTGTGATATTTTTTATATATATATATATAATCAATATCACTCCAGAGTGTGGCCAGATAACAATTGTAGTGTATAATATTTGCACAGCAAATGTGTTGCACAGTACTCAAGCTTCCTTTCCAATAATCTGTCCCACCTTTGCAGTGTCACCATACCCAAGGAGTGAAAAGAACACCGGGGCCCAGACTCCGGAGTCACGTAGGGGTCACTGTCCTCCTGAACATGCTCTCCATTTGTCAGGTTAATCCAGTCTCGCCCATGAAATTTTGGTGGAATGATGAACGGAACGCTTCTAGTTCTGCTCAGAACAACAACAAACAACTCTTCCAGTTTAACTAAGAAAATCAAACTCCATCAGAGAATAATACATTTAGTTGTAGTTCCATAGTTTTGCAGAAATTGTAGCTGCATTAGTCCATAGGTGGACGTGATTGATAATGCAATACCCCTTGTTTAGCCCATATAAAAATCATAGAAAGTTATTTATTTGTATGAAGGTAGCACCTAGAGGTCCCAGTCAGGGATTTGTGGCCCTCATTATGGCGGGCACCTTACATACAAGTAAACTGTCAGTCAGATCCCCTCTCCTTCTCTTTAATTAATGCTTCAAAGAAAAAAAGAATCAATTGAACTTTTTTGTTTAGAGATTGAGCACACCCGTAGCTCTCCAACTTTTTCAGTCGACTACTTCATTAGCTCATTAATTACTTTCCCTCATGTCCAAAATTCCCACTGCTTGGTTCTTAAAATGTTTCACTCTAAGGACCACCAGGAAGGGCTCTGGTCCATGGATCAGAGTTTGAGAACTAACAAAGTTATCCATGTTCCACGTAAGTTTGGTTTCCCCACCTTTTTATTGTTAAATTATATTACATCATATACATCAGAAATAAAGAATTACTGAACTGAGGTTATAGTAACAGTCACTTACCCTAAAGTAATGAATCACACAGCATTTTACCTTTCCTACATGATTGATTCCCCCCTCTCCCTGCATCATTTTGGGTTCCTGTCATACATTGTGTCCCACATTTGGGCCTTTGGCAGGTAGAGAAGTATGTAGCTTTATAAACAGTAGCCCATAAGAAAAAGAGGTCTATTCACCTTATGCTTTTTGGTTGAATTACAGAAGATGGCTGGGTTAAAGTCTGATCCTCCAGACTGGCATCTGGATGTGTTGGTGTGACTGAATCCGTGAGTTCCTCATAGGAAGGTTGGAGGCATATCTTCTTCCAAAGCAGGTACACTGCTATTCCAATAAGTATCAATAAAAGGATTCCTCCTATTACACCTCCAGCCACAGCAGCTACCTGTTCTGATTACAGGAAAGCATACAAAGTGGGATCATCAATACATATAGGGCTTTTGGACAGGAATATTTAAATTTAAGAAAATGCTCCTAGGACTAAGAACTTACAGTTTTTTGGTTTGCTGAAAGATTTGATGAGAATGGATTTGCTTATTTCACTGTCAATTGTATTGGCTGAAACTTTGGAAATAGAATTGGACCCTCAAGAGTTTTCTTGGGGGGCCAGTCTGAGACTGGAATGAACTCCTCCATAACCTAAGGACCATCACAAACCCTCACCATCTTCCACTCCAGCTGCAAAGCACATTTCTTTGACCTGCCTTCTCTAACATAAATATATAGCAGCTTATAGTTAACAAAAACCTACCAAAACAAAACACTCTCCTGGATAGAGAACCTAACAACACCTGATAGATATTAGTTACATCGCTTAATACTCTACTGGAAGGTGATCAGATACTATGGTGATGAGCATGGAATAAGAACCTGCATAGAATATAAGTAAATGCCAAAGCTTTCTTATTTTTATTCCAATTATCATGAGAGATTTTGTAGTACTCCCATTACAGGAAAAACAGGCTAGACTGTGTAGGGTGCACATTATACCATTACTTTGATTTGTTTCCTTTTACTTCAATGTTCAATTGAGACAATGTGTCCAAATGAAGAAAAAAGCAAAACATAGTTTAAAAATGAAACAAAGCAAAGAACCTTTAGTACAAAGGAAGTTTAGAAACACCAAAACAGAATTAGAGGATATGTATGTTTCCTGATCTGGAAAGATCAACTCAGGCACATCATCTAAAAGTTGTATCCTGAATCCTGATTTCTTAAGATAAAAATGAAACCCCGAGGAAGCAGTTTTGTAGCCAGCAAAAATGAAGATAATTTATCAAAATATCAAAGATGCCTTTAATTTAAGATGAATATGCAGAGATTCCTTGATGAGGATCTCTTATTCAATAAAGAACAAGAGTTAGATATTGATAATGGACCCAATTCATTGGTACCCCAGGGCTACTTTACACCATCTCTGCTGGAATACAGAAGCCATAAAGAGACCATAAGGCCCACCACCACCCCACCCTCTCCCGGACCAGGAACTCCATTGGAAATCAGAGTCACCATAGCCAGTGGTATGCTACCCCAAGCAGGAGTCTTTGGTGCAAGTGGCATGTCATCTAGATTCCTAGTGGGGAGGGATGCATTCCTATACCTGGCTGTTCCTGGCTGCTGGAACAGTCCAGGGCGATTGGGGGCATTGCGAGGTAACCCCTCAGGCTGCTCTAACCTGAGCTAGGGTGACCAGACAGCAAGTGTGAAAAATCGGGACAGGGGGTGGGGGGTAATAGGAGCCTATATAAGAAAAAGACCCAAAAATCGGGACCGTCCCTATAAAATCAGGACATCTGGTCACCCTAACCTGAGCTGGGGACTAAAATGTCAATCCTCAGCCCCAGAATAGAGGAAGGTGCTGAGGTGATGTAAAGCCACTTTCTTCAGTGTGGCCTCTCGATCTTCTTACATGTAGGAACAAGAGCCCCCTAAATCTTTTAGCAAGTATAGTCAATGGGGCCTCTCATCCCTCCCCTTGTATAGCATTCCAAGGGCATAAAAGAGGGAGTGGCCACAACACTGCAATTCCTTCTGATCGCTGAAGGTGTGGTGAGCTCTGAATTTGCTTGGTGTCCTCTATTAGGCTTCCTTTTCTTATGCCTCACTTTTTGTAAGTGATTAATTCCACCCATGGAGTCACTTCCCTCCTAACTGCATCTGTTGTGTCCTTCAACTTTCTTCAGGCCTCCCCTTTGGCTTTTAACACTCTTCTTTTGAAGGTCCAGACAACCTCCCTCTACTGGCTTAAACCCCCTCCATAAAAAACATTTTTTCTGCAAAGACTTTCAATGCTGATCATTGCAAAATTTCTCAAGTTCATGCTATCCCCTGGTGATATGTTTTGGGGTCACATGGGCTGGAGCCACAAAGTCTAGATCTGGAGCTGAACTTTCCCAGAGTTTGGTGGTATTTGAAACCAGGCTTCTCTCTATTTTCTAAATTGTTCTGGCTGTATTTGAAGTTCTGAACTAGATTCTAAACTCTTTTTCTGATGGGAGGAAGAGGAATCCTGTCTTATTTGTACAGCATCAAGCACAGTCTGCTTTCAGTAAATAATACTGGATAAAATAGGTCAGTGGTTTGAGCATTGGCCTGCTAAACCTAAGGTTGTGAGTTCAATCCTTAAGGGGGCCACTTAGGGATCTGTGGCAAAAATCTGTCTGGGGATTGGTCCTGCTTTGAGCAGGGGGTTGGACTAGATGACCTCCTGAGGTCCCTTCCAGCCCTGATATTCTATGTTTCTATGACATATTTGTTCAGATTTTGAAGTGACCAAATAGTATAAAGTATATAAATGGTTCTCTGGTAGTGATACCTCTGATTATACTTCACACATTCATGTTATTTATGAATTCCCTGCTCTTCTTTATCTCCTCCTGAGGTGTGGTAAAGGAGCTGTATTTAATCAGCAGTCTGCATGGCAATACCAGCAAAAACTATTCAATCAAAGATTTTTCGGGCCAGAAAGCACCATTAGATCATCTAGTCTGATCTCTGTGTGATTAAATAGAGGTTGTGATCATACTTCTTTTTTGTTTCTTTATTTTTTAATGTGCTTTTATATCTTCCCCCTCCTCTCAACCAACATATGGACTTTTCAGAACAATGAATGTCATCTTTTTCTTGTAATCTGAAGATAGTGTGTCTAGAAACCAAAACATATCCATCCTATGATTGTAATAATTGCTCTGGGAAACAGGAAACTCATTTGCCTGTTTGCTGTGAATTAATATTATTCTTGAAAGTCTGGGTGTGCGAAACTGGTAACCTAATTTCTTAACTGTTGCATAACTTTGAAGTTTGGAGAAACTGACAACTCAGAAATTCACTCTTGAGCAAAGAACTTCTGTAGATGCACATTACCTGTTAGTCTTAGAGAGCATACTCATAAACTTCCACTGAAACACTCATGTAGGTAAAACTGGCTAATGTACAAATCTTCATCCATTGCTTTTTGAAGAGCAGAGTGAGAAGTGTCTAATGAAGGTAAGTCTTTTAGCTAAATTCCATGATAAAATGAGCACTGGTAAAAATGAAATAGTTCCACAGGTGTAATATCTGCACTGCAAATGTTTGTATGGTTGATGGTTTTATTCTCCACTCTGATGTATGTATATTAAAGAAAGGCAAGCATTTCAAGGGCCATAAAAGCTTAACCCACTTATCTTCTTTGCTATTTCTTTGTTTTCAACATATTTCCTTCTCTCCATTTCCGAGCACTTACTCCCTTTCCAACTATCCTGTGTTCTGCTTACGTAGCCTGCCCACGCAGCCTTATCCACACAACCATCAGTGACAATAAACCAACAGGTGTTGTGGTGTAACTACAACAGCCATCCCTGGAATGCACTGAAGTAAATCCAAAGAGAATGAGCTCTTAACATTTGCGCAAATTCAGTGAGATTAATTTGTTCACCGTTGAATCACATAATTGAACATTTCTGACCCACTTGCTCCACCCATTGACAGCAAATCTATCTTTTATTCATATTTGGGTAAATCCACAGGAATTTTATTGGGTTCAACAGAGCTTCTTAGAATTCACACCCTGTATCTAAAGCAGAATTTGGCTTATTGTCTTTTTAAAGCAGTTTGCCTTGTCTGTTTAAACCAACAACAGTAGCCAATAGATTAGGAGGATACAGTGCAGTATAAATCAGAAAGACAGCCATTAAAATAGGTGTGATTGGTTGTGTATAAGAAGAAAAATGTTTGTATGATTAAATAACTACCTATGTTCATGAGAAATTGGTGTGCTGTATGTATGATATAGAGCATAGGAGTTAGAGATGGAAAGAACCAGTTAGAACATTCAGTTAATCTCCTCCAACCTCTTGCGTTGCAAGGATGAGCTATCAACATGTGTAAGATACTACCCTTGATTTTAGCACACCCACTATTTTGATTGGTGGATTTTCTGTCTCTCTCAGGCTTAAAGTCTCTTGTTTGCAAAAGTAACTGTGTATATAAGCTTTCTCCTCCTACCACTCCCCATCCTTCCCACCACTCTCTGGTAAATCTGCAGCCTGAGAAATGACCATACCGATACCATACCAAATAAATTCTATTGTGGTCATATAGTCCGGCAGCACTGCCTCACAAATTTTAATTCATACACAAGTCTCAGATCTGCAATGTATTTTCTCTTCATTCTCATTATAGTTTACACATTTGTCTTAGCGTAAACCTTTATGACAGAAAAGTGTAGAGTGTTTTCTGAAAAATCTATCAGCTTTTACATTTCCTTATTTGCTTGCTCTCTCTGCCTTACATGCATTACATACAACAGACTCTAAGCAATTATTTGATAGGAAAGCAATCACCAAGGGCATATAATAAAAATCAAGTGGGAGACCTGAGAATTAGAGGGATGGTGCTTCATAGCTGGGGTTCTGGGGGAGAGCTGAATAACTGTATAGTGGTTCATGTTCACGTGTGCTACTAGAGATGGGTTGGAGCTGCAAAGTTCTGCTTTGGATCCATAACTAAACTTTCCTAAAGTGTTTATTATTCTGTTATTTATTTAAGGAGCATGTTAGCAGGATGGAGCAGGTCACACAACACCCCCTCCCCAGCACAGAAGCAACCTGGAGATTTCAGCAACTCAGGAAGTTTAGAAAGTGGTTTGTCAGAGGAGCAGTGTGGAGAGGGGCTGGATTTTTGAAGAGGAGGGAAATTTCAGGTCAGATTGGGTTCACAGGAACCTATATCAGAGAAGAGCAAGGATGAGATTGATGCAGGCATGGGGGTGCTGGAGGGGACCTAGCCATGTACTGACATGCCCCCTCTCCTGGCTGATGAACAGCTGGTAATGGTTTGGTATCCAGTCCCCTGAGACATTAGGGAGGGGGAGGGGAAGGGGGGAGAACAGATGTGTCTGTGTGCCCCCCTCCCCATACCAGGCATCACTCTCTCCTCCGTGCTTGGGCAGCTAAGTGTCCAGTGCCACCACTGACCTCCCCAGGGACAGGGCTGCTGGAACTAGGGGTGTAGGGGGTGCTGCTACACCCTCTGGCTTGAAGTGGTTTCCATCATATACAGGATTTACAGTTTAGTTCAATGGCTTTCAGCACCCCCACTGTACACATTTGTTCCAAGGACACTGGCCTAGGTGTGGGGCCGGCAGAGATCTGAGCCCCAAGTTACACCTGATTGGCTCCCCTTGGATTGGGCCCCAGTCCCCACACCCCCCTCGCTGGCGGATGCCCTGGGCCCCTACAGGCCAACCCCGGCACTTACCAGACATGGGTCTTGGGGCCTCAGCTGCTCGGCTGGATCCTTTGTCCCTCAAATTCACAGGCTCTCCCGCATCTCCCCCAGTCCCCGGCAGGGCGATCAGCTCCTTGTCTGCCCTTCCCGCGGCGGTGCACGGGCTCCCTGCACCCCGGCAGCACTAGCAGGGTCCCAGGTTCTCAGGTGCCAGCTGGTGACTTTTTCCCCACGTGCATCTTGTGTTCCCAGGCAGCAGCCGGAGATTAGGGAGCGGGAGGCAGCGAGTCCTTGGCCAACTGGCCGCTGCTTCCCTCGCTCCTGCTGCCCAGCCTGCTCCTCCTCTAGTCACAGAGGAGCTGCTTGGTATTTAAAGGGCTGCAGAGATCTGCCTGCAACTGGAGGCTGGGCAGGGACAATGGAGCAGGCTGTGCAGTCAGCCCCTCCTGCCCACCCCTGAGGTTTATAGCATCCGTACAATAAAAGCACCAACACCAAGCCGCTTCCTTTATTGGCTTCCTGGTCCTTGAAGCTGTGCTCTTCGGCTGGAGGAGTTGGTGGGAGGGGAGGTTCCTGGTTCCTGCCTTCTGCTGGGAAAGTCACGCCGGGCTTTATCGGAGCGATGTTTGTTCAGCTAAGAAAACAGCCGTAGTCCGAGTGTATTTAAGTGTACAGGTATCTAGTGTTGTTACAGCACGCTATTAAAAAGGAGTTTTCTGCCTGCAGAGCGATGCCCTCTGCACTGAGGCAGTGAAAGACCTTGAAGTGCTCGTTCGAAACCGAGCTTAGTTGACTAGGGATCAAACTTCAGGGCAGGGACTGTGGCAAGCCTGACATTCGAACCAAGGGTTTTCTCTGGGAGGCGAACTCCAGCGGTTACCGCGCCAGCCTGACAGGCAGGGGAGTGGGATTCTGCCACTGACTTGCTGTGGGCATAGCGCTTCACCTCTTTGCTTCAGTTTCCTCCGTGTTAAAATGGGAGTTACGGATCTTTGCAAAGGACGGTAGGAAGTATTGTGTCTTAGTGCTATAGATGTGCAAAGTACTATGCAAGAATTATCAACTATTTATACATTTCTAAAGTGTAAACCTTGATAGGCTGGTTCACTTGTTTTAAGCCCCATAGAGAACAATGAATTTATTGTAGTGTATTTAGCAAAGTTGAAGGTGAATTAAGTCTCCTTATCCACTGGGCAGGTATGTCAAAGACAGCAGGAGAGCTTTCTCATGACGCCCCCCCACCTATATGCCTCAGACATGTCCTGAAGGGCTCCCTGCAGGCTGTTGAGAGCAGAGTTCTGTTCTCATTTAACATCTACATAAATGGGCTAGAAGAGAGAGTAAACTGCATATTAATGAAATCTACAGTTGATACTAAATCGGGAGGAGTTCTGAATACCAGTGGGGACAAAGAAATAGTACAAAGGGGATAGATTGGAAGCTTGAGCATAAATAAAAAAAATAGGATTCATGTTGGAAAAAAGTCAAGTACCTCATCTAGAGGAAAAATAACTGAAACACGGCTATTCATTGGGGAGGGAGATAAAGGTGGAAAACAGCAAGGTTGAAAGAAATCCAGGGGTGATCAGAGGTGTCAAATAAGACTCAGGCCTCCAATTAATTTCACATAGATGACACAGCCTAGCTTTCCTACCACTGACACTGGATTTGGACTGGCAACTTCTACCTCCTTATTAAAGGTGAACTCAGTGGTGTAGTGATTAAAATAAAGAAGTGTGTAAACTCTATATTTCCCAATGCAGAAGTCGGTAAACTCTGTTTACCTGTGTTTACCATCAACTACAGTACTGGGTGAAATGTAATGGTTTATAGATTGTGAGCTCTTCAGGGCAGGGAATGAGAGTGGGATATTCAAAAGAATCTAAATGAGGAGTATAAGTCCCACTGAAAGTCAATGAGACTTGTGCTCCTAATTCACGTAGGCACTTTTGAAAATCCCACGCCATGCCTTCATAATTTGTTTGTGCAGTGACTAGCACAAGGGTGAAGAAGGCAACCCTGACTGGGATCTCTGGGCACCACTATAATTTTCATAATGACCATTATAGGCAGGGCTGGTAGCACCATCTATTATTAAGGTTTCCCGTTATAAGACCCCATTTTCACTTGCTGATATTTTTGTCAACCTTTAATCATTTGGGCTGAATTTTTTCAGGCTAGGTGTCTTCCACAGCCAAAATGGTCCAGCTGTTTCTAGTAACAAGGCTATGGAAAAACACATTGTTTTGCCATGTCAGAAACTTCCGGCAATCTTTTCTTTTGAAACACTTTAGTGCCCCATGCTTTGGAACAGGAACTTGAAATTTAGCAGTGGGGGAGGGCTCTCTGTCAGGCCTTTTGTCATCTCTGAAAATCCACCCACATTTGACCAAGTTATAGTAAAATTGCAGATTGTTCATGCTCAGTAGAGACTTCTTAGATTTTAGCAGCTAAAATATCTGAAGATTCCTGTGGAAAAATAGTATGTGATCATATTGTTAAATATTGTATCAGAATGCATATACAGGGGCAGATTAAGGTAATACAGGTAACCTTAACTGTGGGATTTCCTAACTTTTTTGTGGCTTGACTTTGCAGCCTTAATACTGTTCTTTTCATGTTGATTTTGTGTGTAATAAATATACACAGACTCCAATTCATTAACAAAATATACGTGTGAACTTAAAAATTATAAAGGAGTATATTTGAAAACAAAATTCAATTCTTCTTTCACTTACCTGTCAAGACATGGAAGTCAAGATTCTGTCTTTCTCCTACAGCAGCGGATGCCATTACTAATAAAACCTTAAGCACTGTAAGGAATGCGGCTCCCTTCTTTTTTACATCTTTGAGTGACGTTGGCTGTTTTAGGAGAACTCCTGAACTCAGACTATGGTAACTACCAAGACTTTCAGTCTAATTTTAGACTGTATTTGTACTTTTTGCATGTGTCCTGTTCATAACTTGGGCTCTCTGATGGGATGTGCATACTCCACACCAGGCAGGAAAGGGTTAATCACACACTATGGGTGGAGGAAGTCCATAGTGGAGGCTCCAGCCCAGGCGCTATTACAGCCCTTGCTTGCGAGTGCCAGAGCTCCCAAGACACAGACTGAAGACCTGTTGCCTACAGCTGACTGGCTAGAGTCGGAGTCGGAGTCCCAGGGAGTTACCTGTGCCATGGAGACCCTGATGTCATATGGATTGCAGCTTCAGGAATTGACCCAGGGAGGTGGAGTGAGTGGTATGTCCCACCTGTGTAAGGTCTGCTTGTTGCAGTTGGATTCCTCGCTGACCCAATGGCGGACCACTCCGCCACTGTTAGGGGCCTTGGTTGGGACTTGATGGAGTCGGATGGGCCCAGGTCTCCCTACCCTGGCCTCCACCCCTTTGGTGACGACCACTTGATCTGGCCATTAGGCTGCGCTGCCCTGCACTTGAGGGCCATGCTATTGACTCTGACCACTAGACCACCCTGCCCTGCACTCGAGGGTCACCATATTGACCCCGGTCTCTTGGCCACGCTGCCCTGCACTCGAGGATTGCTATATAAACTCTGTCTGCTAGGCCATGCAGCCCTTTACTCAAAGGCCGCTCTATTGACTCTGGCCATTAGGTGACACTGCCCAATGCTCACAGGCGGCCATATTGTCTTGAGCCAATAGGCCACACAGCCCAGAACCCAAGGGCCAATGCTTTGACTCTAGCCATTGGGCAGCACTGTAACCGCTATATCAGTGCACCCCAAACGGGGTTGGGGTGTACATACAGCGCCACACGCTCTCATATACTTTTTTAAAAATTGGCTTCTTAATACTTATAGACGTTAATAAGGTTCTAATGAAATTAAATCTGATTCAATAAAATTTACTCTAAAATCCTATTAGATTTCATTAGAATAAAATCCTTTCTATAGAATGTTTGAATCCATCTTCATAACACTTAAAATTTCCTGCTGTAATTCTTAGCTAGATTGGCTTAACACTCTAATTATTTTGTATAGGAATTTTCCAGCAGGGAGATAGCATTGCAGGTCACCTTTAAATATAAAGCCATTTATCTCTCATGTATATTTCATCTCCACCTTCTCACATGTTGCTAGTTACTGAATGTATTTATTTTACAAAAGTGATTTTCTCTCTCTGTCAGTTGTTTCTGCTATACTTATTTCTACAGTGGATTCATAATTATTCTGGATTTGGGCTAGAGGCCCCCCAGTTCATGAGCAGACTTCTTGCTGTTTACCTGGAAGGGATGTGGAATGCCATCACCACGGTATCGTGCCCCTTTCCCTGTACACTTGTAGAAGCCTTTCTGCTGAGCATTGCAGGGTTGAGACTCCTCAACGTTTGGAATTGTGTGCGGATCGCAGAGGACTGACAGCTTCCCATGCTACTGTCCCCTCCTCAACCAACAGAAATATTAGCTGATATCCTAATGGGAGTTACTGCTGGTTGAAGCATTGGACTGCTTCGTGGACTCTTGGACTGCTACAATCCTCCGTGGACTGCTACTGAGCAGTTACAGGGATCCCAGTCAGTGCAACATGGTTCCTACTGGAACCATGCTGCCAGTGAGGGGATAGGACCAGCATAGGTGCCTAGGGATGGGCAGTCATCCATGTGTACATCTGCTTTCATGGAGTGGGTTCTTTCTCTGCATACCCCACTATATTAGTAGATTTAATTCCCTCCATACTTTGTGGCCATCTCATACCTTTCTGTCTGTTTTTTTTTTCTTCTTTCCATTTTACCTCTTAGCAAATAACCATTACCAAAACAACTTGTCATCCAGGGCAGGTATGTGTCTTTTGCTATATTTTTGTATCCTTGATTGCTATGTATTGGTATTTATATGTACATTGTAATCTTGGGACAAAAAAAAACAAAAAATCCCAAGCCAATCGCAACGTGTATTCATAAAGCACGATCTGGGTGACTCATAAAACAAGATCCGGGTGATGTCAGCAAATCTGATATATCAATGGGGTGATATCAATTTTTCTTCCTAACAGAAAAAGGGATTCTGGTTTATTAGGAACTGGAGAATCTTTTGGGAAAGGAGGAATCTATACAGGATGGATGATCTCCACCTAAACCAAGATGGAACCAGATTGTTGGCATGTAAAATTAAAAAGGTGGTAGAGGAGTTTTTAAACTAAGGGCAGAGGGAAAGCCAACAGATGTAGAGGAGAACACACTTCAGACAGAGACATTATTTAGGGGAGGATTAATTAAAGGGGATACGCTATATCCTAGAAAAGAGAAGTTGATAAAGTACAGTAAGAACTGAAAATGAAAGAGTCCCATTCAATAACATCACATGACAACAAACAACTGAATATTGACAAATTTTATAAGTGCTTGAATACAGATGCTAGAAGTCTAAATACTAAGATGAGTGAACGTGAGTGCCTGGTATTAAAATGAAAATATTGATATAATAGGCATCACAGAAACTTGGTGGAAGGATGAAAAATTAATGAGATACAGGAATACCAGGTTACAAAATATATACAAGTCCAAAGCAGACTGCGAAGAGTTACAAAGGGATATCACCAAACTGGGTAACTCGGCAACAAAATGGC